ATATTTTTTGAATAATAAATCATTTTCCAGAAATCATTTTACTACTTTCAAAACGAACTTTAATATCTATACAATTATTTTTTTAAATGCAATAATAATTATTAGATAATGGCCTTGTTTGATTATTGACAAATTTGCCAAAATTTTATCAAATTCGTCATTTTAACATTTTGTCTTTAATCAAAACACCAAAAATATTATTTAATAACTCAGAAATTTGCTCCAAACATCAAAAAGCTAAAACAACAAATATACATTTTGGGTTAATATTTCCCCAACACCACTAATAAATAATTTTCTTTAAAAAAAAAACTAAAATAAGAAGCCATTAAGCTACTAATTGCCCACGTTGATAGGCAAGCAATTATTTTTGGAAGAGGAGCATTGCTCCTCTTATATACAGGAGCTCAAGAGCTCCTCTTTCTCAACATTTTCGATGTGGGATCAAAATGATCCCACATCATTTACAAAGGGTAGCCCGTGGCTCCCCTTTGTCTTTTTTCTTTATAATTATAATTTTATTTTGTATATAGTTTTGTTTTGATTATTATTATATTATTAATTATTAATTATTAATATTATTATTGTAATTTTATTTTATTATTACATTATTACATAATTACATAATAATAATAATAATAATAATAATAATAATAATAATAGTAACAATATAAATTTTATTTTAGACATTCTTTTGCTGTGCATACGAACATTAAAAAGAAAAATATTCTCTGAAAAAAAAAAACTAAAATAAAAAGTCATTAAGCTAAGACTTCTTAAATAATAGCCCTTTGGAAGAAGAACATTGCTCCTTTTATATAGTGGAGCTCAAGAGCTCTTTTTTCAAACATTTTCGATGTGGGATCATTCTTTTTTTCAAATATTTTCGATGCGGGATCAAAATGATCCCGCATCATTTACAAAATGGAGCTCATGGTTCCCCTTTGTCTTTATTTTTTTATATAAAAATTTAATTTTATTTTTTATATAGTTTTGTTTTGATTATTATTATATTATTAGTATTATTATTATTGTAATTTTATTTTATTATTACATTATTACATAATAATAATAATAATAATAATAATAATAATAATAATAATAATAATAATATAAATTTTCTTTTAGACAATTTTCTGTTGTGCAGCCAAACATTAAAAAGAAAAATATTTTCTGAAAAATAACTCATTTTTCAAAAATCATTTTCCTACTTTCCAAACGAACTTTAATATCTATGCAATTAATTTGTTAAAGGTCATAATAATTATTAGATAATGGCCTTGTTTGATTATTGACAAATTCGTCAAAATTTTGAAAAATTTACCTTTAATCAAAACACCAATCTTCTTCTGCTTACTGAGCACAAGGAGCCCCTCACTTTGAGAGGTTGCTCTTACACTGCTGGTGCTGCTGGTGAGACTCGATCCCTAGGCGGGAAAGCAGAAAATAAAAATAAAATATTCTATATATATATATATATATATATATATATATATATATATATATATATATATATATATATATATATATATATGCCTATATTTTCTTCCAAGCAGATTGAATATTAACTTCCTGCTAATAAAATATAATATTTTCTACTTTCCTATATTAGAAAGCAGAATTGGGCGGGAAGTTAATGTTACATTCCGAATTTTGTTTTTATATATAATATAGATAGATAGATTAAGGTATTATATCAACTCTAGTACATTTTTATTTGACAATCGTATTGGACCATAATCCACACAGCGCTGTATGGACCATGGTCCATTGTATAAACTAGAATCAAGGAACGTTGTGAATGATTGGCCTAATAATGGCAAATTATATCGTGCACCAAGCCGCACGATGCATTGTGCGTCCTAACCCAAAACGACGTCATTTGGTACCTTTAAAAAAAAATAATGTTTTTCGCGTCTGCTATTAACTTCTTTAAAAAAAAAAAAATCTCATGTTTCGAATGTACATAATTGTATAATAGAATGTACATAATTGTATAATAGAATGTACATAGTCTTTTTTTGAAAGGATAATACACATAATCTAACATAATACATAATACACCTAAACTCTTAACATAATACACATAAACTCTTAACTCTTAAAAAAATCTCATGTTTCGAATGTACATAATTGTATAATAGAATGTACATAATTGTATAACAGAATACACATAAACAATGTCGCGTCAATTCCCCACACAATTTAACAAACCGACGTCGTTTGTACAGGGCGGGACGCACAATGCATTGTGCGCCCTAGTGCACGATATAACGATTGCCTAATAATATGTAGAAATTAGGCATATTATATCGTGCACCGCGGTGTATAATCGATTATGCACCGCGCATTAAAACGACGTCGTTTTGTTTAATGAAAAGAAACGGCATCCGTTTCGCGCCGTTCTGCACCCTTCCGCAAAAAGTAACTCTGTTATTCAGTTTCATTTTGTATACACTGCAGTTTCAGTTCAACACAACTACAGTTTCATTTTGATATAACTACAGTTTCATTCGATATTTTTAGACTCAAATATGTGAAAATGTTATTTAATTTTATTTTATATATACTATTGTTTTATTAAAACACAACTACATGATCATTTTGATATAATTACAACTTCATTGTACAATATACACTCAAATATGTGAAATGTTATTCAGTTTCATTTTATATACACTGCAGTTCCATTTCACCACAACTACAGTATCATTTTGATATAACTACAATTTCATTTGATAATTTAAAAATAATACGTGACGCAGTGTCGATTTAGATACACTGTAGTGTCAGTTGGTAATTAATATACATAAAAATGCACTCTCCGTTAACACTAACGACGCACCATTTTAATTACGGTGTATATGCACCGTAGTCCACGATATAACGACTCTACAAATTAATGGCCCAATGTTGTATGTGCCATAATCAATCTTTTATTAGGCCCATTTACACACTTCTACTTTTTAGAGTGCAGTATACTCCAAAATAAACAAGTGTTGCTTTCGAGCCCGACCAAGTCAATAGAGTAGGACAACAATATCCGAGAATCATGTTATGTTCAATCTATTCAAGTCAAATAATTTGCTCAAGTTTGTTAAAAAACCAAATAAGTTGACTAATATGTTCCATTCATATTTCCTTTCCAACAGGCCAGGCCAACATAGCTAGAGTTAGTTCCACTTATTAATTTTAATTTGTTTCAAACATGTACAACTTCAATATCTTATTATCGGTGTAGGTTTGGAGAGTCAAATTCAGTATCTTGTCATTGAAACATGGAGTTGATGCTACGAAAGTATAAAGAAATAAAATTATATATTCGCTAGCTATTAACTATAATTTTTGGGATAGTGATAAGGGCTTGTGATGGGTAATATCCCTCGAGTGGAGGCTTGAATGGTCAAATTCAGTATCTTGTCATTGAAACATGGAGTTGATGCTACGAAAGTATAAAGAAATAAAATCGCATATTCGCTATTAACTATTATTTTTGGGATAATGAAAAGCGTTTGTGATGGGGAATATCCCTTGGGTATACCTACCTACTCGTACCATTTACTTGCTCGGTATTAGGTCACGTCACCGAGAGGAATCGTTCCCGACCTAGAGACTGACCAACCCGACCTAAGTGTGAGACCCGAGTAAATGCTTCTTCAGTATTTAGACTTGGCCCCACCTTAGGGTTGACCCTGACCTTCTTAGGCCAGCTGGAAGTTCGCCCCGAGCTAGGCTACTTAAGGATTGATACTCAAATTGTCAACTTTGCACTGGTCACATCAGTTAGTGGTTGCTCAGGAATATTTCAATACATAATGGACATCATAGCGCTGTTCCCGAGCTAGTTGATTGCATGTGCGACACGTGTCAAGCATGCCGAGAGCTCGGCATGTGTCTCCTTCCTCTCCCTATAAATACCACATTTAATGCGAGGAAAGGGGACTTTTGACAACTTCACCTACCACACTTTAGTTCAGAGCTCTCTAACCTCACGTCGTTTACCAAACTTAAGACTTAAACCAACAAGCAGACTGGAAAAAGACCTAATACGATCCGACCTATTGATTTTTAGGTATTTGTGGGACATCACAACGTATTTGCACTATCAGCTTGAGTTGTCAATTGTTATTATAGTAGACAGGTGTAGGTGTTGGGAGACGATTTAAAGGGCATGCAAGTTTTATTTTAATAAATATCTTGAAATTAGGCTTGAGATAAACGTATAATTTTAGTCATCTTGTGGCCTGGGCACATATGCACTAATTTTCTACCTAATGAGTCACTGATGAGTTATCATGATTTATCTCTCTATTATTATATTGGAAATTGTATATGAACTATGAGGGTGAGAGAATTTCGATCGCCTTGTGGGCAGAAAATAAAATATTTGGTTTCATAAGGAAAACAGTTAACAACACAGCAATGCAAGGTTAATTGTCAAAACTGGAAATACTTTATGACATGCATGCATGTGAAATGCTAAAGTATTTAATGCTCAACACAACTGTAAAATTAGTACGACTAGTCGCATTTTCTATGCCGTGACAGGCGGTATAATACTCTCCAAGGGTCCACGGATCCTATATTCTAAGAAAAAACAAAAAATGGCATAAAATTGTATATTTGTATACATAATAAATTCATATAAGAAAAAAAACACTCATACTTTCTAAAGTAGTAAAGACATATCTAGAAAAAAATATTTAGCAGTTTCGGTAAGTAATTTAGTCCTCGTTCAAGTACTAATGAAGACTATTTCATCGGATTAATCATAAACTCACAAGACACATTTTCAGAGCTCTTACAAAGGTAAATCGCTAGTTGTCCGATAAATAATTTACTGACCACTTGTCTTATCCTCGTTTTTATATGCACGAATTTAAACTTTTACACTGTTATTTACAATGGTGATTTTAAGTCACGTGATGAACCACTACACTAAGCCCAAGGTTTGTACTTAGTACTCTTGTTGCTATAATTAGGGTTGGGTGCTAATTAATGGATGGAAGAGTGATCATATTTTAGCCATTTCTTCCGTGAACATGGCTTTAATGAGATCACAGCCTCTTCCCCTTTTGTCATTCTGAACTCAACTACCCCCTAACCAAAGAAAGAAACGCTCTTTAAAAACCTTTTTTCATCGCACAAGAAACTCCATCTTATCATCATCTTCATCATCATCAATCATTCAATCCAAATCCCATCCACCATGGATTGGGTTTCATGGCTCTCCAAAACCACCCTCCAACCTTCTCTCGTCTACGATTACGCCCTCACCTTTGCCCACAACGAACTCAACCAAGAAGACATACCCTTCTTCAACCATGAATTCCTCCAAAGCATGGGCGTCTCCGTCGCCAAACACCGCCTAGAAATCCTCAAACTCGCCAGGAAAGAGAAGGGCAGAAGCAGTAACAGTAGTAGTAGTAGTTCGAAGCAGAAGATTTTGTGGCTGGTGTTTGCGGTGAAGCAAGTGAGGAAGAATCTGGCGAAGCAGGTCCGGGGTTGGATTCACCGGGAGGATTCCGCCGGCGGCAGCCTGACGATCGTGTCGGCGAGGAATTGCAGTCTGAGATGGAAGGCGGCCATGTTGAAGAGGAAGAAGACTAATAATAATCAAGAATGGCCGCCGCCGAGGATGATTGCTAACGTTAACACTACTGCTCCTCGTAGTAATAATAAGGTTTTGGCTGGTCAGGGAAGATTGATGATGTTGACGAATGGGAGCCCCTTGGTGGATCATCGTGATGCTTGGAGCTACAGCTCCGCCTCGAGCTCCCCGCCGGTCGAGAATCTTCGTTACAACGACGATGAGGAGGAGAGGATGGCTGGCGCCGGTGACGGAAAGTACTACTGGTCACCCACCATAGAAGACATCAAGTGGGATTCAATGTTTCAGAACCTGAAACCCACCTGAAAATCTTCAACTCCTCTTAATTAAAGTCTATAATTACTGCTTTGATTCTAGGTGTGAACTGAAGATAAATGATTTATTGACTATTGTGTTGTGCAATCTATGTTTTAATAACTTCTTGTTGTTGGTTGGCCATGGAGGTACTTGTTTTTGGTAAGAGTAAAACTTGAAATTTGTGATTATTAAGTTAATTGTTGGACTAATTTAGCTGATTTATCCAAAAAATTCACTAATTTAATAAACTTTTTTCAATGATCAAGGAAACCTACCGTCATTATTTGAGAGTCTGCATAGTGTAAATTTTACAGGACGTTTGGTTTGATGAGGGAATTATGGAGAAAAGAATTGTAATTTTGTGGGAAAAAAATAAAGTGTGAAATTACATTGTTTGGTAGGAAAGAATAATGATGAATTGAAAGGGAAAAAGTGAATAAAGACTAAAATGTTATTATATAATAATAATAATATAATAATCATAAGAATGATAAAATGGTAATTTATCATGGAATTACAATTTCACAAAGTGTGGAATTGCAATTCCTAGTGGGATCCTAGGAATTGCAATTCCATGGTTGGAGGGAATTGTAATTCCGTGGAATTGCAATTCTCCCCAACCAAACCATAGAATTGCAATTCCACATGAAGTTTGGTAGGAATGGAATTGCAATGGGTTAAATCGATTGATCAATTAGCTTAAGTTGTCTCTAGTTAACTGGTTAAAAATAAAAAGATCAATAGACCACTCTCAATGAAGATAAAACTTAAAAGTTTCTGATTATTAAATTAATTGTCTGACTAATTTACTTGGATTGTCCAAAAATCCACTAATAATACTGTTATGCTCAAATAAGTGCAGGTTTCTGTCTGTTTCTTAAGGTAAAGATAGCTGCAGCTAATCGGCAAGTCATTTAATGTAAGACAGTTTTGCGTGGAGTGGCATGAATTTGCATTACTGCATGTGCAGTAGTAGGTTTGGTTAGACAAATACTTGTAACAACGTAGGCCAACCTTAATTATGGTTCACCAGAAAACTTTAAACTAATTAAAAGATATGCATGTTTTAAGAGTATAAACTCCAGCAACATAAAAGCAATTAATCAGTCTCAAGCAGTTTGGAAGCAATGGCAGCCTTTGTGTCACATACAAAACTAGCACGCAATGCAGAGTGCTATCGCAGTATTTGAGGCCCTTGTCGGCTTGTTGCTAGCCTGCTAGGCAGCCATTGGGCCACCTTCATCTCCTAATCTCAACTTTTCCATTTTCTTTTATGGTTGACCATATAATATATAAACATACGGGACTAATTTCATAAAGGATGCCATTGACAAATGAGAGGTTTCTCTCGGCAAATTATATCGTGCACCAGGACGCAGAATGTATTGTGCACCCTGGTCCAAAATGACGTCGTTTCTATAAGTTGATAGAGAGTTGACGCTGTTGGAAAAATAGCATTAAAATGGCATTTTGAGTGATTATTTTGTGGTACAAATATATGTGGGATCCACTTCCGATTTGGGTCGGGTCAATATGGATTCGGGTTCTTCATAGTAAGACGAAGAATTTGATATAATGTACGCTCAAATTGGGTAATAGGTGAATGAGAAATTGATTTTCAAAGTAAACCTATTTAGGAGAAGTCCAAAGTACGAAAGCTTAATAAATGGGAATTGAGTTTTAGCCCAATTCGTGCCACTGCTTTCAGTCCTGTACGAAAGTTAGCTAAATTGTAGTTAAGCTTTGTTTTGGAAGCTTAAGTATGTTAATTAACTTAAGAGCTTAATTAAGCTTTGAAAGTTACATGGACGAAAGTTGGCATATGCATGGACGAAAGTTGGAACATGCATGGACGAAAATTGGAACATGCATGGACGAAAGTTGCATGGACTTCAAAACTTAAGTCTCGTGCTTCTTTCGTGGCTCCTAGATTCGTGTGCAGCACGAGTTGGTGCTTTATGCATTGATTCGTGCTGCACCGTTTCGGTGCTTGCGGACCACTCGGGTGTGGTTTCCGGTCCCAATTTGTTAAATTTTTGGGTTTGTACGGACTTCTCGGTCACTCAGATATTTTTGAAACTAGTCGTTATGGTCGGTACGAATTAATCGTATATTAAGTTCGTGACCGTTTATATTATTTCGATAATAAGTACGACCGTTTCAAACGTTATAATTCAATTTTTTAAATTGAATTTATGTTGGGTTTTATGTGCCATGAATATGCTATTAAATCCTAATCTCCTATATAAGTTCATAGTAGGAACAAGTGATTTACAACGTGAGGGAAGAGCTAGAGAGACACAACACACAAAGATAAGCATTTTTTCTTCTAAAAACTTTGCTCCTACTCCTTTCTTGCTACTGTGTTTTGCCCGTGCTCTTGTTCGCCGGGTTCGTTCGTTTGGGTGCTCAAACGTCGAACCGTTGTACGTTTTATCCTGGGAAACCTAGGCCACAACGCTCCTAGCACTTTTGGGAGGTGGCAAATAAGGTTTTAAGGAAAGACAGGCACTTTGCCTAACTCGTACGAATCTTTCTTCCTTCTCCTTCTTTCTTGTTTTGGATTATGCTCTAAGCAAAAATCCGTTCTTTCTTGTTGTTTTGGAATTATAATCTAAGGATTATATTTTCTTTTTGGTTGATATATATTGGTATATCTTTTCCGTAGATATACATGTATATATAACCGTTGGGTCCGTTTTATATATATTTGTGTATATATATATATATTTCGGATATATATCCAATAATATTTTATATATATTTCGTGTGTATATATATAAATATTATTTTACGGATATTAAATCGATTGTGGTTCATTATCACCAACAATCTTAAAACCTTATATACTTTTGATAATGAACAAGTCGATGGATTCCAAAAGTGTTGGATCCGTGAATGTTGCTTGTGGTGCACATTCAAATGGTCGGAACGGCAACGATGTTGCACAATCCGTGATGCCAGTTGATGGCAGCAACGTTGGAAATAATATTTCCATGGGAGTTGCAAAAACACACGATGGTGCTCCGGAGAACTTTGGTTCACGATCCGGTAGACCTGTGGCTAATGGCACACAATTGGTACCTATTGTGTTGTCTAGTGGATCGACTAAAAGCCACGAAGGATCCTATGATGGTGTAATAACTACATGGTCTGAGGACTATTGTAGTGTGACCAATGACTTCAACCGTAATCAAAGGAAACTTAAGCGGAAGCTTAGCTTTCAAGAAGATTACGAGAAGAAGGAAAAATACCACTATGAAGTGAACCGTCATCCTGGTGAGAAGGTTGAGGACAACTTCGCTATGTTTAAAACATGTGGATGGTTGGACGAGTGAGGTCACAACCATAGGTACCCCCGATGTGTGCTATGGACCACCCTTTGTGGAGTGGACGATTGAGAATGGAACAAGGCACACGGGTTTGAAGGATCACTACGAGATAGGAATAAGGAAGTATGCTTCCAATGTATTTTCCTATTTATTTATTTTGAATAAATGTTGTAGTATCCTTGGAATATTTTTATTTGAATAAAAAAATATAATTGTTCCATTGAGTTGAATTTTGGTACATACGAATTATTAACTAGAATAATGTCAAATGTATGAAATGATTCAATATGGGTGCGTAGTGCATCACGGGGCATTATGTGGAAAATGCTAAAATGGCTTAACGGCCGAAATGAAATGTAACAAGCGTGTTAAATGTTGAAATCCCGTAACGAACTTCGGTTCAGGTTCATGTAGAACGATACGGATTTCAAGGATCAATTTGTCAAAAATTGGAATAACTATATAATCGAGAGCGTCACAGCTCAAGTGTTGAATATTTTAAATATTATTCTAAGAACGATTATATGAGTTTGATTCAACTAGTTGGAAAATTTGGTTGATTTGTTCTCGTTAATTGTGTTATAATTAACTTGATCAAAAATTCTAAATTATACTAGTATATTTAATTTGAGACAAATTGTGTTTTGGTGAATAGTGCTTTTGTAGCACTAATGGAAAGTACAATTTAATTTGACACTTGGAAGTGCAAATTAAAACACTGTAACAGTGCTATCAAGCACTAGGTAGAGTGCTTAATTAGGCACTTTCGGCCACTTGGTGGCTGCACCTTTAGGTGTTGAAAACTTAAGCATTTGGTGCTTTAGTAATAGCAATAAAGGTGCTAGATTATGATTGGTCCTAATGCTAATCTACTTAGCTTAAATCTTTCGTATAGTATGTGGCTAATTAAATTTAGCACTGTAATTATAAATTAAGCAACGAAAGGTTGTTGTGAGTTTATAATTTAAAGCAATAAAGATTGCTTTGGAATCGATGCGTTAGTTTAGAAGCAATGATTCGTGCTTGGTATAGCATGTTTCGTGCTTCACTACTAAGCACTGATTCGTGCTTTAATTTCGGAAGCACTGATTCGGGTTTGTGGCCTTTCGGTCAAAACCGAATGGATTCGTGAGGGCTAATCTGTTAGCACCTACGAGATGTGTTAGGGTGTAACACATGTTTATTCTTTAAAGAATAAAAAGAGAAAAACCAAATTAATCGTGGATTAATTCAGTTACGAACAATCGATGTGGTGGAAAAAAAAAAAAAAAGAAACACCTATTGGTGATTTCAGCGCAAGCGTTAGTGTCGTACTCGAGCATACGGTACGGTATTCACCTCAATCAAACGTTGTTGCCGAACATAAAATATCAAGACGTTGATAAGTTCGGGTCTACCTCAAAGTATGTGAGGTGAGACAATACTTTGGACAAGTAAGTACCTTTTAAATAAGGTTACCCGCATGAAATTCTTACGAATTGTGGGTACGTAGGAAATTTTCCTACTAATGCCTGAAATGTGGGAGTGTCTTGCCAAAGGCGTTTTGGTTCTTAATACACGAGTCCTACGCTCTGGATGTACATAAGAACACAATAAATTGAATCAAGAAATTCATCGTTCTTTAGAAGATGCATTTCTGTGAAGGTTCAATAAAGGACCTAGCACGTTGAAAGGAACTTTCGGCTTAGCTATGGTTGAAGGGTATGAAAGATAACCCGAGCTCAAAGCTAAACGTAGCAAGAGAGCTAGGATTGAAAAATCCTTTGGTCCATATTTTCTAACGTACGTGTTAGAATGTGGTGCGCATAT